ATTCCATGTAACTGTAGGTTTATCCTTAACTTGCGTCGGTGTCAATACTTTCCCGATATCCACGGAAATTTCATTCCCATACGTAACCTGTAGCACATCTTGCGGCACCTTGTCTATTACGTCGGGCACGACACCGTGTGTTTGTAACGCCTGAACCATCGTGGATGATAAAAGACGAGTCCCAATCTCGATCAAAGGTTTTCTTCCTATCAGATTAGCTGAAAATACACACGAATAATAATGGATAATACACATCAAGAAAGCAAAGATCGATCCATTTTTCGTAAACATCTTTCGTAATGATCAAACCGGCAACATGCAGAGGTTATTGCAAATGGCCAACACTCGACTGTGGGATAACCAACTTAATTGATACCGAACATGCCTGCTCTTGCATAATTTTTCACGAACGCCTACATGACGCCGAGGCACGATTTTACGTCATCGAAAAAGAAAAGAAAAACGCGGAAAAGAAAGACGAGAAGGGCCGGGGAGAGGGAATAGAGAACAAAATACCCGATAGAGAGTTGAAATGTTCGAAAACGATGCAAAAGAGAAAAAAGGTACGTTTTCGTGATTACAGTTACGAGAAAATTAAACGCGATAGATTTCCATAAATCTAATGGATATTACTTGCGTTGGTTAAAAGCAGTGACATGACTCGATACGCGAACTAACTCACTAAACGGAAGAACACTTGGTGAAAGATACAGCAAATACGATTCACTTTCCGCCGATCTTAGACACCGACACACCACAGAGCCGGCTTTCTTACCGCACCTACCTATTCTATATCAAACGTTCCTTCGCATACACGGTACTGTCTTCTACGCTAATAGTAGCACACTGCGAAAACTCTCATATGCACTGTGGCCAATCCGTTTATGCGAAGCACCGTGGAACCCACCAATCGGTATAAGCAGATACTACCGCCATCTATCGGAAATGATGGATCAACAACCCGTACATAAGAAACTTTCAATAAATGAGCGGGAATATGAAACAAAATATTACTTTATTGGTGTGAAATAATATACTGTACACAATAAACTAAGCAGATGCATGTAACATATGATCTTTTTTATATCTCTTTCTATACGCGCTCACGCGCGCCCACGCATACATACATACAATATACACATCATGCATACGTCATACAACATTAAAAATTGCATACAACATTACATTTTGGTGTACACATACATGCTAAACTTTGGCGAAACGGAATTACCTCGATGCAACGCGACAATGTTACAAACAATCCTCGTGCAGAAACAAAGATCGCGCGAAATTGACAAAAGATCGATATCGAAAGTATATACGAATGGGAAGCCTGTCCCAGAACATTATTGTCCTTATTCACTCGAGCTTTTCTCTTATATTATATTCCATTTAGTTTCGCGATACACCTATCACATGTTTCGCGTACGATGCTAATATCCAAGGGATCAACGACCATTCTCTCTTTCGCGTTAAACTTATTAATTTTCCTCTCGTTCTTCTTTCGTTGAACACGTGTACACGCTTTTTATTTCTTCCTACTAGAATTGTTTACCTAAAAAGATTAAGCGTATTCGAGTGGAACAAGTTACTATTATTTACAAAAAAAGGTACAAAAACGAACGCATTAACGTCACGACAATCGCGGCGCGAGCGTAAGAAAGGAAAACGTCTTCCCTCTGCTTCTCCCTGCCCCTCAAAGATCGCGCACCGACCCCGTCCCCACCCAGCCGGCGTGCTTCGCTATAACTTTGTTCCGTTATAACTATTAGCATTCGTCATTTGCACTTTTATGCGATTCTACGACTAAACGTCCAACTCTCATCGGCGATTGCCAATTATCGTAGAAAAAACGTTCGGAGAAAAGGAACAAAAGAGAGGGAAAGA